CCCACATAGCTGCTCACAGTGCAAGTCCTGAACCTAGTGGCTTGCTTTCTCACTTTTCCTCTCTCTCTCTCTCTCTCTCTCTCTCTGTCTCTGTCTCTCTCTAGTCAAATTAAAATAAATGAATAAAATTATAATAAATAATTCTTAAAAAAAGAAAACCTCATATACTCTTGTGAAATGATCCAGCAATTGCACTCCTTAGTATTTACCCAAATGAGCTGAAATTTATGATTAACATGATTAAACATGCACATGAATGTTTACAGCAGTTTTATTCCTAATTGCCAAAAATTAGAAGCAATTAAGATAGTCTTTATTAAGTTAATACACAAATACTTAGTATGTCCAGATGATAGGATACCATTCAGCACTTAAAAGAAATGAGCTACCAAGTCATAAAAAAAAAAAAAAAAAAAAAGCAAAAAAAAAAAAAAAAAAAAAAAAAAAAAAAAAAAGGAAGACCCTTTCAGGACATATTACACTAAGAGAAAGAAGCCAATCTGAAAAGGTTACATAATTCCTATATGATTCCAACATAGGACATTCTAGAAAGGCTAAACTACAGAGAATTAGAAAAGAATCAGTGGTTGCCAAGGGTTTGAGGAGGGTGGAACCCAGGGATGAATAGGTAAAGCAAGGACATATTTAGGGAAGTGAATTATTCTGTATCGTACGTATTGTGATAGTGAATATATGTCATTAGACATCTGTGAAAACTAACAGAGGGCCAGCAGGTGGCGTGGTGGTTAAGGGTGCTGGGCTCTCCATATGGCTGACTGCAGTTTGAGTTCCAAACCTGGCAGCTTGCTTTCTCACTTTCTCTCTCTCTCACCCTGTCCCTTTCTGATCAAATTTAAATAAATAAATAAAGTAATGTTTTTTAAAAAGAATTATTTATTTATTTATTTCCATTTGTTGCTGTTGTTTTTTAATTTGACCAGACAGAGACAGAGAGAGAAAAAAGGAAAGTGAGAAAGCCACCAGGTCCAGGACTCAAATCATGGTCAGCCATGTGGGAAGCCAACACCCCCAACCACCACACCAGCTGCCGACCCCAATAAAGTAATTCTTAAAAAAAAAAAAAAAAAAAAAAAAAACTGGATAAATGAAGGTTAATGGGGGGAGGGGCCAATCAATGGCACAGCAGTAACACAAGTGGACCTATATGGGGAAGGTCTTGGATTCACATCCTAGGACCTCCCTGTGTGTGCCAGTGATCTAGACTGACTAAAACTGAGGGTGGATCACAGCATGAAGAATTTGTTGAAGGTTTCTTTTCTTTTTTTCTTTCTTCCTTCCTTTTTTTTTTTTTAAATTGCCAGAGAATATATGCACTCACCAGAGAGACATAGAGAGAGACAGACACAGGGAGAAAGCTTTCCCAGTGGGGTGTGATCACACCACAAGCTCTTCTCCATTTTTCCATCCTGTCAGAGGTCGGGGCATACATGCACACATGCCCAGTATGTTTTTCAAGCCACCAGGGCTGAGATTTGAACCATAGCTAGTCATGTAGGATCTGGGCCCCTTAATCATTATACTACAGGGACAGCCCAGGGGTGCTTGTTTTTCTGTCTTTTTCTGTCTCTCTGTGTCTCTTTCTCATGGAAGAAGTAAATGTATTTTAAAATTGTTAGAAATACTGTTTAAAAAGAGAAGTTCATAGAAAATACATATTATGAAAAACTATGTGTGGATTTTAAAATTTTTCTTACACCAAAATAAATTACTTTAATTCCATTTTTTCATGAGCTTTTTGAAGTCCCCAATACAACATAAAGAGTAAATGGTAATATAAACTGTGGCCTTCAGTTAATAATAATCCAACAATATGAGCCCATCAATTATAACAAACGTATTACACTAAATCAAAATGTTACTAACAGAAAATTATAGGGAAGGGGATATATGGGAATTCATTTTTTAATTATTTATTTTATTTTATTTTTCTGTAACCTATCATTTTTTTAACCTAAAACTTGTATAAAGTCATATTTTAATTTTTAATATTTATTTATTTAATTCCATTTGTTATTATTATTTTTTAATTTGACCAGAGAGAGAGAAAAAAGGAAAGTGAGAAAGCAAGCTGCCAAGTCTGAGACTCAAACCACAGTCAGCCATGTGAGAATCCAGTGTCTTTAACTACCATGCCACCTGCCGGTCCCCTAAAGTCAATTTTTTAAAAATATTTTTATAATCCTCAAGTCCAATCATTAGTTTATTTATTTATTTCACTCATGAGAGAGACAGAGACACAGATACAGAAAACTCTCAATAGGGTCTTCAAATTACAAACTGCCCTAGCCCCAACTCTGCAGGGTCATGGGATATGTGTATGTCATGTACAGAGAAGCTCTGGGAAGTAAACCGGGACTTTCTCATGTGGTCCAGCTGTGTTACCACCATGCCACCATCAAGCCCCAAGTCCCAGATTTCTCACAGAAACAGAAGCAGAGTAGGGAGTTGAGCGGGGAAACTTCAGTATACCTTTATATGGTTACAACCTGTTGAGATTCTCAGTTGGTAACAAAATACATCACAGTCAGATCAGCTAAACAATACAAGCCCATAATACAGCACTGACAACCAACCAACCTGCTGGGACCAGCAGATGGTGTAACAGTAACATCACTGGACTCCCGCATGGCCAACCGTGGTTCAAATCCCGGACCTGGAAGCTTAAAACTCATGCTGGGAGCATGTGCATGCATGCCCAAAATCCCCAAAGGAGAATGGAAGCAAAGGGATTACAACAAGGCCATCCCCACTAAGGGGTCATTTCCTGCTTTCTGTCTCTCTGACTCTGTCTCTCCGGCAAGTGCACACATCCCATAGCAAAAATTAAAAAAAAAAAAAAAATTAAAAAAAAAAAAAGTTAACCAGCTTGGAAATCAAGTTCAGGCCTACAAGAAATTATTTCCAAGTCAGCCCTATAGGTTAGTGTTTAAAGGCAGTCACGTCCTGGAGCCAGCAGGTGGTACAGTGGTATAGTGGTGTAGGTGCTGGACTCCCACATGGCTGACCACAGTTCGAGCCCCAGGCCCAGTAGCTTAAAACTCAGACCAGGCATGTGTGCGTGTGTACCCAAAATCCCAAAAGGAGAAGGGATTGCAGCATGGCCTCTGACGGGTGATTTCTCAATTTGCCCCTTACTGTCTCTCTCTAGTGAGCACCCCATGGCAAAAACCTAAAAGTGGGGGGGAGTCAGATCCCACATGGTCAACTGCAGTCCAAATTCCAGTCCCAGTGGCTTGTAAAATAGACTGAGGATGGGACCAGCAGTTAGTGTAATGGCTATGTCGCTGGACTCCCATGTATTTGACCATGGTTCGAGTCCCGGACCTGGTGGCTTGAAATTCACGCCGGGCGTGTGTGTGTGCGTGCCCAAGATCCCAAGAGAAGAATGAAAGAGAAGGGGTTGTGGTGTGGCCATTCCCCTGGGGGGGGGTGTGATTTCTTGCTTTCTGTCTCTCTTTCTCTGTCTGTCTGGTGAGCGCACGCGCCCTATAGCAAAAACCTCTCAAAAAAAAAAAAAAAGAAAAAAGAAAAATAGACTGAGTGTGTGTATGTATCTGCGTGTCTGCCCAAAATCCTGACAGGACAGAGAAATGAAGGAGAAGGAATTGTGATATGACCATGCCCCATTAGGGGGATGCTTTCTCCCTTCCCACCCCTCCTTCCCTCTCTCTGTCTCTGGTGATTGCACGTGCTCTCTGGCAGTTAAAAAAAAAAAAAGAAGAAGAAATTACTTCCAATCTACTATTGGTCAGTTGAAAACATCCTGAAAATGACTGCCGAAAAGAGTAGAAGAAAGGCTAAAGTGCTTAGCGGGTAAAATTGCAGATTACCTGGGTAAACAGGTAACTCCCTCTAGTTAAGAAAAGGTGCTGCTCTGATTAGGAGTAAGTCAAAGGAACAGTGAAAATCAGTTATTATAAAATGGAGTGATCCTGTGTTGGGCACACAGGAGAGATTTAATAAACAAAAACCACCTAACTGTGCATCAAGTGTACATTCTGAACATAAACTGTAATGTGTAACCGCTTACTTGATATCTAAACAAAGTAATTTCCAGAAGACATAAGAAAATCATTCCTCTCATTTCTACTCAGAATCTATCTAAAAACTAGCCATATATTAACTTTATGTCTAAGAGTACATTATACTAATGTCTATAGATTTTTTTGAAAATCTTCTATTCAAGTATCATCTGAAGACAGTTAATGAGTGGTTACATAATTCACAGAAATATTTATAATGTCTGGCACATAAATGGCAAAATGTTCCCTTTTTTTTGGTCAAAGAAGCATTGCCCAGGGAAGGTATGTCAGAATTCTGATCTTTAGTCTCGTTTTCTTGAAAAGTAACTCATTAAGAAGGTCTCTATTCAAACATATTTTACAAGTATGTGGGATGTGTTTGTTTTTCTGCTGTAACAAGAACTAACTTGAGAGAAGAGCATATTAACAAGTTCTCAAGAAAGTGGTAATTAGCATATTGGAAACTGACATTTCTGGCACATGGAACCTAAAGCAAGAGTGTCTATCCTCTAGTCATGAGTCATGGATTAGGCTGCCTCTCTATTTATTGTGAAGCAATCTTTCAGTAAAAGGAGCAGCAAGAAAAAATACAACTTATGAATAACAACTTGGACAGGCTCCCAGGAAGAAATCAGAGTGAAGCTAGGTCTGGGAAAATTAGTATATTATCCATTATACTAATGCCGTCTTTTCTTAATCACTCCTACTCTTTGTTAATGGCAGAGAGAAAGTGAAATTTAGTCTTTAGTTCTAACTAAAGTTCTCTTTTCTGTGGCTTTTAGTATTACTGAATGAAACTGTACCAATATTAACTTGGTCTTATGTTTTGTGATACTAAATCATTTAATGCATCATTATAAATTATTTTGTGGTGACACGCGTGATAAGCTCTCACCTGTCACATATTCACCCCAGCACACACACACAATGACACCAGAAGGCAACACTCTGCTTTACCTTCTGCTGAAAAGTCTGCTACCTCCAACGCTTGAGGTCCATACACGAAGCCTTCCTGGAATCTATGAACATAGCAGAGGCAAAAGGCAGAGAAGTTTATGTAGATTTAAAGTTACACTGCCCAAAACATATAATGCCAAATGCCTATCACAAGTCTACATATCTGCCAAGGAAATTAGATTTTAGATTTGACAGTGTGTAAACCAACAATATATTGATAACATTCACTGTTCATTATATATTATCCAGCTAATGTATGAAAAGACCAAAAATTGAACCTTAACTAATTTATATTCTTGTTGAAAGAAGTAATTACACTGTGGAAAAACTAAAAGAGCAATAAAGTATGTATCCTTACGTACGGAAATTGACATTATATGACAGCCAATACATATATAAGGAATATAAAATAAATTAAGGAGAAAAAAATACTTCATGAAATGACATAGGCAGCAGCCAGTAGCTGGCGTGGTGGTGAAGGTGGCTGGATCCCAAATAGCCGATGGCATGGTTTGAGTTCTGGGCCTGGCACCCGTGTGCTGTGTATGCAAGCCCAAAATCCAGAGAGGAGAATTGGAGGAGAAGGGATTGCAGTGTGACAATCACACCTGAGGGGTATTTTTCATTCTGTCTGTCTGTCTGTCCAACAAGCACACATGTCCTAGAGCAAATTATTTAAAATAATAAAAAAATATATTTTGGGACCAGCAGTTAGCATAATGGCTATGTCGCTGAACTCCCATGTAGCCAACCGCGGTTTGAGTCCCGGACCCAGTGACTAAACTCACACCAGGCACGTATGCATGTGTGTCCAAGATCCCAAGAGGAGAATGGAGGAGAAGGGATTGCGGCATGGCCATCCCCCCTGGGTGGGTGATTTCTTGCTTTCTATCTCTGTCTTCTCTTTCTGGTGAGTGCACGCACCCTATGGAAAAAAAAAAAAAAAAAACTCTCCCAAACAAAAAAATCTTTTAATGGAATATGGTAGGCAATACACATTCTCTGCTAAGGGGCATGAACTGTTGGAAATGCAGGAGAATGCAGGAGAGACAAATCTAAGGAACAGCAGTTGGCATAATGGCTATGTCGCTGGACTCTCATGTTGTCAACCACGGTTCAAGTCCCAGACCCGGTGGCTTAAACTCATGCCAGGCACATGTGCGTGTGTGCCCAAGATCCTGAGAGAATGGAGGAGAAAGGATTGTAGTGTAGTCATCCCCCGGGGGGCGGGGG